ACTGGCGATAATGATGACGAGGATGATTATGATACTGATGATGGTGGTGATGATGACGATGAGTATATGATTATTAGGATGCTGATGACGATTATGATAATGTTGCTGATGACTTTGCTGATGTTTGTGATGATGACGGCTTTGACGATGACGATGACGAAGATGGTGAAGATGGTAATTGTGATGATGATGATGGTGATGATGCTGATGATGATGATGATGATGGTGATGATGATGATGAGGATGAGGATGATGATGATGTTGATGATGAGGATGTGATTAGCATTCTGACGATGAGGATTATGTGGCGACGGCGTCGCCAGTGCGATGATCATGTCAGCATCGGCGGGGTGAGGCCTCCATGGTCCCCCAGAGAGGACCGAGAGCTGCCAGAGACCGCGACCCTCGACCCTCGGACGGCGGCGGCCCTCAAAGCACCGGGCCCTCGAGCAACGACAGCGGCGGCGAGGAGGAGGGGGAGGAGGAGGAGGAGGAGGAGGGGGAGGAGGAGGAGGAGGAGGAGGAGGAGGAGGAGGAGGAGCGGGGAAACCAAGAAGATGCCGATGCCGCCGCTGCGGCCGGCAAGCTCTGCTCAGCGTGCCGCCACGCCGGCCACCCGCGAGGCGCCGTGCCCTGCGAGTGGACGGCGTGTCGCTCCGCTCTGCGGGGCGGGCAGCTCGGAAAGGCTCGGGAGGTTGACGCCTCGGAGGATTGCAAAAAAACCCAAGGATTGCAAAAAAACCCAAGGGTTTTTTTTTTTTTGTTTGCAATCCTTGTTTTTTTTGCAATCCTGGGTTTTTTTGCAATCCTTCGTGGAAGCGGACACCGTGCTGCGCCGAAGCGTGGTGGGCCAGAACTGGCGGGGCGGCACGCTGTCCCGGAGTTCCCGACCGTATGCGGCCTCATCCGAGCCATGCCCCCGCCAAGCATGGATGTCCAAGAATCGATGAGAGGCGGGTGCCATGAGGGCTCGCATTTCGCCGCGTGCTCGACAACTTCCGAATCCTACTCCTGCCGACCGTCAAGTTGTCTGAAACTTAGTTCGGCTGCGGAAATTAAGGTTCGGATTTTGCCGCCGAGCCACTCCACGGACGTCTCCAAGGGTGCGTTCTGACCGAGATTTAAGTCGGGCCTGTCCCCCTACAGGAGGAATATTCAAAAATAATAAAAAAATAGTCTGGGGACGATTCTGGACCATTCTGGAATATTTTAAAGCATCTCTTGACTATTCTGATTTTTTCGTCCAACCTCCCCCTGTAGGGGGGCAGGCCCGACTTAAACCAAGATGTCGGAGAGGGCCCAGCCGGGGCGACGAGGGCTCTCCAGGATGGGCAGCGGGTGTGGGCATCCTGGAACGGCGACGACCCCGATGCCCGACGGCACGTGCTCTTCACGACGCAGACCCCCAACAAAGCCCGGACCCCTTCCGGGGGACCAGCTTTTCATCCTGAGTCGTCTTTTGTTTCTCACGGTCCCGAGGCCTCGCTGAGGGCCCCCAGAGGCCGAGTAGTGAAAAACCTTCCGTCGCTGTTCGGCCGCGATGTTTGGGGGGGAAACTGAGCAGAGGCAGACCGTCTCGGAAGGTTCGGAAGGCCTCGAGCCTCCTGGAAACTGATCTGCGCCTCCCCCGAAGGCCCGCCTCCTTCTCACTTTCCACCCCCTGGTTCGCCGTTGAGCTTTCTTTAAGAGGCCCCAGGACACACAAATAAATACACACAAATAAAACTATCCCCCATATTTTCCCTTTTTTCTGGGTTTTTGTCTTCCCCCCCACTTCCCATATTTTCCTACATTTTCATAGGAATCGACAGTTAATTGTGTCTGTGTGTTTTTCTTCTTCCCGGAGCGAGGGGGGGTCCGAGGGGCCGCGGCGGCGACGGCGGCGGCGGCGGCGGCGAGGCGCGGCCTGTCGCGGGGACAGCCTCTCGAGCGCCCCGCGCAGGCCACCGCGGGTGGCCTGCCCCCCGTCGCGCCCCCGCTCGCCGGCGGCCGCGCGGGCCGCCATGGGGCGCACCGATGGGGCGCGCCGCCGCGCGGCGGGGGGCGGGGAGCAGGAACGTTACAGAAGGGGCGTTGACCTAGGGAGCCCTGAATAAGGAACGATGCCTCTTGTTCCCATAAGTTTAGCTTCGATTTCCCATCGAAGCCCTGAGCATAACCAAGGGCGAAGTGCAAAACAACTAAGGAACACCCAGCCCCTCCCCAACGAAAAGGGTTCCTTCTTCAGGGCCCCGACTGTAGGAGGCAACTACTGGGAGGTCCTCGCCGGAAGGATTAAAGAGGATGGAACACTGAAGCCCCACATTGGGGGGTTGTGACGCCTGATTGGTTTCTCGGACTGAGCAAGGTTGCGCCGGATTCCGGGCGAGATCAAGCCGATTTCGGACCCGGGCAAGATCAGAATTTGACCTCCCAGGAGTTGCACCCGAAGGGACGGGATTTGGCGGCGCCCAGAGGGGCGCACGGGGGAGGGGGAAAGTTGTCACGTGCTCGTGCTCGTGCTCGTGCTCGCGCTCGTGCTCGTGCTCGTGCTCGTGCTCGTGCTCGTCGTCGTCGTCGTCGTCGTCGTCGTCGTGGTCGTCGTCGTCTTCGTGGTCGCGGTCGTCGCCGTCGTCGTCGTCGTCGTCGCCGTCGTCGTCGTCGTCGTCGTCGTCGTCGTGGTCGTCGTCGTCGTCGTCGTCGTCGCGGTCGTCGTCGTCGTCGTCGTCGTCGTCGTCGTCGTCGTCGTCGTCGTCGTCGTCGTGGTCGTCGTCGTCGTCGTCGTGGTCGTCGTCGTCATCGTTCTTAGAAGCAGCCTGCTTCTTACAAGGCGCGGGCCCTCCAAGATGCAGGGGTGCTTCTAAGAAGCCTTCTTTCCTCCCCCCGCCCCCCCCCCTCCTGCGCGTGGACGAGGGGCCCATAGACCCAACGTGTTGAAAACATCGAGACGGCGGTTCTTCGCCGTCTTCGGCTCTCAGGGGCCCCATGCCAGGCCCTGGACCGACAAGAAACCACTCTGGAGGAAGAGCCCGTCCCCGGGAGTGGGTCGGGACGTGCAGGGGCCCAACGCGCTGAACAAACATCGGGCCGTCGGGCCCCCGAGAGCTCACCAGGCGTGGTCGCCCACACGTTCGGGCCCCCGGAGGAGGAGGAGGAGGAGGAGGAGGAGGAGGAGGAGGAGGAGGAGGAGGAGGAGGAGCAGGAGGCGTTCTGCAAACTGATAGGGTCCCGGGCCCCCGCGGCGTCGCAGGGCTCCGCGCGCGCGGGGGGGGGAGGGCGGGAGCGCGGGCAGGGTCAGGGGCGGCTGGACTGTGGACGCTTTGATCCGCAGCGGCTGCGGGGGGACGGGTGGACACGAGGGAGGATCCGCAAGAGAAGGAGGGAGAGGATGGCGAGGATGACGAGGAGGTGGAGGAGAAGGAGGAGGAGGCGGCGGCGAAACGGTATCGGGCCGAAGTCGTACGAACTCGAGCCTGAACCACAGTCCTGGAGTATTCGGGATTGTGCGACCTACCGTGCGCAGACGTATCTGCGGAGCAAGATGGCCCCACGGCGGGAGCCCCGAGTTGTCCTCGCTCGACCACAACCCTCGCTGATAGATGATGTCAAAAAACCAGCGGAGAGGCGAAGGGAGGTCCAGCGCGTCTAGCACAAGCGCAAGCCAATTTTAGCACAGGCTGGGGAAGGCTCGACCGAAACCGAAAGCCACCAGGAGCGGAAGCGATGTTTTTGGGCCCATGGAATACACCCGAGAGCACGCGTCCAGGTCCACGATATTCGAGCAGAAGTTTCTGCTATAAACAAAACCGCGTTGACTCGAATCGAGTCCAGCAGGCACGCGACGAGAGAGTTCAAAACAGCAGACTCCAATCCAAAGCTTGCAATCGGTGGTCTTGAGGCCCAAGGGCCTGGCATCCCCGACGTCCCGAAAAAAAACCTCCACCGCGTCGTTCGCCTCCGTATCTCTGGGCAGGAACACTTCCAGGAGCTCGTTAAAGTGCCAGCTCAGAGTGAAACCCTGCCAGATCCACTGCAGGCTCTCAAAAATGATGTCGGCGCCACGCGGCGCTCTCTGCCCAGCAGCGTATCTGAGCCGGTCAGGACCAGGTCCCGCGTCCTGCAAACACTTGACAGTGGGAGGCGGCAGATCGCAACGCGTCACCTCGGGAACATGAGTCCTGGGGAAGTCCCGAGCCCTGGAGTCGTCGAACTCTTTGCCCGTGAGCACAGGCTTCCAGTAATCCGCGAGACCCTGGAAGGCCTGGCTCGGCTCTTGCATGGTCTGGCCCCGGACTCTGATGTCCGAGAGGCACGCGCGCTTGTCACGCGGCGACCAAAGCTGGGCAGCCATGTTCATTTTTCATTGGATGCGCCCGTCCTCGCAGGCGATTCTGACGGTGCTCATTGGCCGTCGCGTCGATGCTCGCCTGGATCTGACGACGTCGCTTCTCAGCAAGCTCGGCGTGCAACTGATCAGGGGGCTGGGTGAACTTGGCAGGGTCGACGAGATGCGCGCAGTCTCCCTCCAGATGTAAATCTAAGTGCTCGCGTGCGAGATGGTGCGTGAGTATCAAGCGTTATGCGAGGCGTGCGTCCTGGCGAAGTACTGCGCGCCCACAGCTACGAATGATGCGGCATTTGGATTGGCGACGGTGAGGTTGATGTAGAATAAGAACGCTGCGTGCGTGGCATGCTGCTTTTATCGTGAGCTTATTGTAGCACTCGTGCTGCAACGGAATACTCAAGTTGTCAAACTCGGCGGCATCGACCGCCTTCTGCAAATAATGCGCGTACTCGCTAGTCATATAGACTTCCTTCGGGATGGGCCTCGAGGCCGCTGGAAGGGGGGGCGCTGGACCAACGTAGCACATGCAGCTGCATGATCAGAAATTCGTTTGGCTTGTAACTGTTCGGGGGCCGAATAACTTCACCACCAGCGGCCTGCTGCGAGATGACCCGCCCAGGAGATGAGCAAACGAGGCGGTCAATGAACGAGAGGTGCTTTCGCCCGCGTGGAAGTGCGTCGGGGCCTCCAGCTCAAACTCGGTGAGCTGGCGCACAGCATCCCGCCGCCCAGGAAGCTGCAAGAGAGGAGGAAGAGGGGCCGCGATCTGTTCTTCGGTCGTGGTGAACGGAATCGAAGCCTGCACACCGAGGTTAAAGCCCCCTGCCACGATCACTAACTCACCCTGCGTTTCATCTTTCGAGTCCAGGATAGATGCGAGGATGTGCTGAGTAACGCATTGACGTTGAGCTACGCGAAGACCATGATGATGAACGTTGTACACGAGCTATCCACGCATACCCATTAGCTGCTGAGGACTTTGCGAACGATACTCGACCTAAAACCAGTGCCTCGGGGAGGGAGGCCATAGGGCGCTCGCTACCGAAAAGCCTAGCTCTCACACTGCTCGGACTAAAGCGCGGGAAGAAATGGCCCCACCAGTGCTGTGCTCTGCGGGGGGGAAGGTGAACCCGAGGTCGAGGTTCGAGGAGTGGAGAAAATCTTCTATCTCAGCAATCGCGCCGCGTGCTTCCTGCACGGCGGTGATTGACCCCGGGCGGAGGAGGCGGCGGAGGTACTTGAATTTAGCACATCTGACAGCTGGCTGGAAGTGCGTCAACGCGCGCGCATTCCACGTGCCAATGCGCAACGGCGCATGGGCCTTGTGCCCCCCCCCCCCCCCCTCCCACCACCACCACCACAAGGCGTGAAACTTGCTAAAGAGACCACGAGGTATGCCCGTCTCCCTCGAGCGCACTGTTGAGTCCGTCCTGCAGCTGCGCCCTCGACATCCCCTCGAGCTGACGATTCTCTTCCGCCCAGCGGATTTGTGGCGCATCACTGTCAGGCAACGGCGTGATCTGCACGAGCTGGCGCCAGTTCGCTGAGACAGTGCCGCGCAGCTGGTCCACGACAAACTTGCTTCTGCGGGTGCTGCAACTGGAGGTAGCGCTCAACTCTTTCCGAACTTGACAAGGATTCTTGCTGGGGGCCACAAATAGCTCCGTCTGCTCACCTGAGACCGCCGACGCGTGGAAGCGCCGCCACTCTTGACCCAGCGCCTGCGGCCGGAGAAGAGCCAGCGTCTGTTGAACTCGTCACCCTGCGAACGCCTTCGAGCCCTTGAGCTGGATGGTGAAACGCTTGTCGGTCGGGTCGCCCTGCAACTCAACCTCGCCCGCATCCATGATGAGCCCCTGCAGCCACGGCCGCAGCGCCTGCTCCACGGCGGTCTTGGCGCACTGGAGCTTTCAGCGCATGATGAAGACGGAGATGTCGGTCTCTTTGTTGAAGTTCGACTCCAGCGAGATCGGCGTGAACGTGGTGACTGGCTTCGGCTCCGTCTTGAGCAGCCCCAACTCAGCCCTGAGCTTCTTGACATCGCCCTGCAGCTCCTTGATCTCGATCCCCTGCGTCTTCTGCACGTTTTCCGTGCGCGACATCCGCTCCTCAACCTGCTCCTGCATATCTGTGCACGTCTTGACCACATTCGATTATATACCACGGAGAGAACCTTGCATGGCCGTCGACGTCTTCGTGACTCCGGCGAAGAGCTCTGAGCGGAGGGCTTCGATCTGCTGCTGCAAATCGGTGTGCACCACCTCGGCCTCGACCGTGATTCCTGAGGATGCTGCGCGCTTGCGATCGGGACCAGGCGAGTCCGCCGATCCTGTGCCAGACGACGCGAAGACTGACATGGCTGAACACTGCTGACTGAGGCGGTCCCACCCGCCGCGAGAAGGAGTGCGACCCCGAGAAGAAGCCGACGGCGGAAGTGAGCCGTCGGGGAGAAAGAGCGGGAAGAAGCAGGCTGGTGCTCGAAAGCTCGAGCAATGGGAACGGACCAGCCAAAAGTAATTGCAGGTTCTCGCGTCCTCGACCCTTCACATCGCTTACTTTTGAGCCAACATGGCTACGGACCTCCTCTTCCTCCTCCTCCTCCTCTTCTTCCTCCTCCTCCTCCTCCTCCTCTGGTCACCCCCCTCCCTCTGGCACAAACCTTTTACACGCTTCGTGGCCAC